TCCTCCGTGTTTCCCGGCTGCTCTGCGCTGGCTCTGCGCTGCTGTCGAGGGCGCGCGCTGCGTGTCGAGGGCGCGCGCTGCGTGTGTGATGCGCTGCCTCCTCTGGTGACGGGCAGAGGTGACCAGAACGCAGCCTGAGGATTGGCTTGGTATCGCTCGGACGTGCTTTTTCTCTCGGCGAGGACCATCGAGGAGCATCCTTGACCATCTTGCCAAAAAACACGCACGAACTCAAACAATGCATTGGGATTGAACGTCCGAGCGACGGCGAGTTGGTGGAGCGGGGAGCCCGATGGTGACGGGAAGGGTGGGAGGACCCCCCCGAAGCAGACTATGTTATAACTACGAACGAGTCATGTAATGATGGTGAAACCAAGGGGCGTGCAGCTGGAGACAGGAGAGGGGGGTGGGAGGGACAATGGCGGGAGCGAGGGGAGAGGGGATGGGGGAGAACGAAATGGATACCATGAAGAGAAAGAGGAGAGGGAAAACGGGAAAACCGAGTGCTGAAGCGCAACTTCCTGGTATCGATGCCGTGGACAACGTGGGCGCCTGGGCACTGGCGCTTGCACCTCGACTTCCTGCTGACGGTCTTTGAGGGGGAGCACCGCCTGCTCGAGCTGGGCACAGGACCACCAGCGGCGGACAGCCGCGCTCGCCGCGGCGCCCATGCCGATCGGATCTCGGCGCTCGACAGGGCACGAGAAAAGTCGCATGGTTTCACGGCGCGGAAGTGTGCGCAAACACGCAGAAGGAACGAACTCGGCAAATACAGTGGGGACCCATGCCAAGAAATACCCTGCTTGCCTCCAGCGTGCCCTGGGCTCCTTGGGTTTCGATGGTTCTGCCGTGGGAAGCGTGCCGTTCCCACAGCAAACACCGATGAACGCCCTGGGGTCTCAGGGCCGGGTCTCTCTCTGTGGTCGAGCTCCCACTGCATGGCACGACGGCATGAGCTACACAGCCGGACCCGAGCGGTTCAAACCGTGCCAGTGATCGGGTTGATCCAAAAGGGGGTCCAGCGACAAGGGGGTGATGCAATAGATTTGGTGCAATATATTTGCGGCGTTGCAATGCATCGGGGGCATGCAATACATTCCGGGCCGCAGCTGTATTGCTGGACTTTCGCGTGCAATACATTCGTCGCAGTACACTGCACTGCAAAATTCTCCGGCGCAATACATGTGCAACACAATTGCCCCAAACCTGTTGCACCACCCCCTTGCAGCTGGACCCCCGTTTGGGTCGACCAACAGTGAGCGAGAGCCGGCCCCCACGGCCCCACATCGGCGCCCAGCCTTTCACGACCGGCCGGGCCGCGCCCACACCCGCTGGCGGCCGGAAGGCGGCGCTCCGCGCGCTCCTCCGTCTGTGCCGCGGGCCCGCTGCCAGGCCCGGCCGCGGGCCCACAGGGAGGGAGGGAGGGAGGGAGGGAGTCAGGAGGAGGAGGAGGAGGAGGAGGAGGAGGAGGAGGAGGAGGAGGGGGAGGGGGAGGGGGAGGCAGAGCAAGTAGGCGGCGCACCCCTGAGGCACCCTGGGGACTGCCTGAAGTGTCCGAGACCATCGCCGACGAGATCTTCGCCGCCAACAAGGTTACCAGAGAGGTCCTGCGGATGCTCTTCGCGGCGACCGCAACCCACGTCCCCTTCGTCGCCGCCATCGCGGCAGAGTCGACTTGCAGGCAGACTCCCGAATACCAGCACATCGCCAATCAGACGACGGTTAACGAGACCTCGACACAGCACTATGACCTCGGCGCCACACAGATCCTCGACAACGGCACCCGCGACGACCTCCGCAACAGACTGACCACAGCAAACGCAGAGGAGATCGATTTTGCCATCGCCGACCTGCTCGACTGCAACATAGTGGCTAGATGGGGTCTCAGAACCGCAACCGCTGCGCCGACCAGCCAGAACCTGAACACCTACGACGCGTACTACATCGAACGAGAAGACGAAGTGCCGCCTCCCGCTGAGGCTGATCGCGACAAAGAGCGTCCTCGACGACAAGCACAAAAGCGTCAGGACGCAAGTCCAGAGGAAGCCCCGAGTGCGTGGGAACACCTCAGGCAGCGTCGCCAAGTTTTGCAGGAGGCGTTAGGACGAAAAACCTGGGGAAGCCCCGAATGCGTGGGAACACCCCAGGCACAAGTCGCCACGTTTTGCAGAATTGACGCAGGCAGCGATCGCACGTGCACAAGTTCAGCGGTTACCAGCAAGCCAGACGATATACGACCTCTACGACCACCAAGCACCACCGACCAACCACCACCCACAACCCAAAGGATGGCCCACCACACCACCCTACAAGTCAACGCTGCCCTGGTGAGGCAAGGATCAAACTTCGAGACGGGCTCGAAGGGTGGGGGGGCAGGACGAGTACTGCCCGCGCCTACCAGGCGGGATAGTGAGGGGCAGGGGGGGGGGATAGGACGGCCACAACCTGCGCCCCCGCGGTCCGCCCTAGCTCGCCACCCCCACCATCCCCATGGCGGAGACGGAGCTTACCCGAGCGCCCAAGGGGCGAAGCGGAGGGCAGCCGAGACATCCCTCACCGACAACAGAAGCAAACACTAGGCCTGGGGTTCGCCCCCACCGAGGGCACTGTGACCCCTAGCCATAGCGGGACGCGGTGGGGCCGCCACGAACCCCATTCGAAGTCGGCGCATAGAGGCCTCATAACTGCGCCCACAACCCATACCACAACACCAGCAACAAGCCGACCTCCCAACGACCCACCTACAGGCACGCACGACAAGCAACCACAAGGTCTGGGGTTCGCCCCCAACCGACCATCCACCCCACCACCACCACCCCGCCAACAACGACCACCACCTCGACACGATCCGCCCGCTGAAAGGAGGACAGGAGCAGGGTCCTCAGCAGCGCGGCGCGATGAAACCACGACGGGGACAGCTGAAAGGAGGACAGGAGCAGGGACCTCAACAGCGCGGCTGGACGAGCACGCTTGGAAGATGCCGAAAAGGAGGACAGGAGCAGGGTCCTCAGAAGCGGCCCCCAGCACGAATGCCCGCAGAAAGGAGGACAGGAGCAGGGTCCTCAGCTGCGCGGCAGAGTACCGACCACCCGCCCCAGTACCACCACCCCGCCAGCAACGTCCATCACCTCGACATGATCCGCCCGCTGAATGGAGGATAGGAGTAGGGTCCTCAGCAGCGCGGCATGATGAAACCTCGACGGAGCCAGCTGAAAGGAGGACAGGAGCAGGGTCCTCAACAGCGCGGCTGAACGAGTACACTTGGAGGACGCCGAAAAGGAGGACAGGAGCAGGGTCCACAGAAGCGGCTCCCAGTATGAATGCCCGCAGAAAGGAGGACAGGAGCAGGGCCTTCAGCTGCGCGGCAGAGCACCGACCATCACCGACCACGCCAAGAGGAGGACGCGGCGCACCGTGCGCCGCGGCGAGGCCGCCCCCAGCCCTCGGGCCGAAGGGGGGTGCGGCCCGCCCCCCGTGTAACATACGGGGGCCGCCAGCTCAGCCGAGCTGCCATGCGGCTAGAGAAGGTCGGACGCCCCTCAGCTCGCGAGCAAAGAAGGACGTGGAGGACCAGTCCGGCGCCCACCTGAGGTTGACGGACTGATGGGCTACGGCGCGCCCAGCGGCGGCGCGCCGCAGAGCCCTCACTGAAAGGGTTCGCTGCAAGGGAGGAGGAGGATCTCGAGGAGGAGGAGGAGGAGAAGGAGGAGGAGGAGGAGAAGGAGCAGGAGGAGGAGCAGGAGGAGCAAACAAGTACATTAACATCGTTCAGATGTTATACACATACGGACGTGCGCGCGGATCTCTTCGGTCTGTCCCGGGCCCCCCTGGCGGCGCTGGAGGGCTGCCCCAGCGCCGACCGAAGGAACACGTGTGCGGGCTTCTGAGCGTTGAAAGCCATGTGGGTGTGTCTCTCGAAGCTTGCAGAACCGCGTTCTCGAGATCGTCACACGCACACGAGCACGGGCAGGAAGGCCAACCGGCCCGCACAACGCTAGGAGGGCGGCCTCTCGATGCTCGAGGGTTGCCAGATGCTGCCGCACAGACACACACACAAGCATACCGAGCTTTGCGCCGACACCGACATCAAGGATCCCTCCCTCCCTCCCTCCTTTCCTAATGTTTTATTTATCTCGCATTGCATGTTTTCTCCAGATGCACCAGATGTGATTCCCGCTTCGAGGCTACGGCCTCCACCGCCACGCCCAAACGGGCGCGTGCGGGCGCCCACGCGGCGTGCGCACGGATCTGGCGTTCGTTCTTTCGTTCGTTACACCCAGACCCGGACCCGAAGGCGAGGAATGTGTTATGCTTTGCCAGCCGCGTTTTCAGCTCCAGGAGCATCTGCCGCCCTTGGAAGGGCGGCTCAGCGCCATCCAGGAGCAGGGGGTCCTCATGAGGCATCGCACCGTCCAGTTGGAGCTCCAGACATTGGAGATCAACGTGGGCATCGAACGGGATGGTGGCCGCGGCCAAGGCGACGACCTCTTTGAAGACTTCTGCGAGAAACATGTCAGGAGCACAAGACGAAGTTCGGGTAGCAGAAAGGTGCCCATGGTATTCCGCAGCCAGTCAAGGAATCCGTGTCGCGAAAGGCATGCCTGGACATCCCAGTCCCCGACCGACAAGTTCTGCGATATTCCAGTGAAAATGGCGCCCAGCCCGTGGGCGACGAGACGTGGGAGGAGCTGGAGAAACCCTCGCCACCCTCCAACACCGAGTTGGTTAAGCTTGTCAACGTCTGCATCAAAGGAACCGAGACGTGGGAGGATATCCCATTGGCTAACCTGAGCCAAGGGCTTGGAGGTGACAGCTACGCCATTCAGAAGGTGCTGCCTGTCAAGAAATGCACCCTGAGCAGGCTCAGCTGCGACGTGAGCAACGAGACCGCCAGCCAGGCTACGACGAGGGGTGCGCGTGCTCACTGGCGCGCAAGGGCAACGCCGTCATCGCCAGCCATTCGCGGCACCACGTCTCCATCGACCCCGAGCCCAAGGTCGGGCATTCTCCGAACTACGAGCCGATGACCGAGCCGAGCCACATCACGGACGACGGCGACGATCCTGGGTCTCAGAGGGCGACCGTCTGCACCATCCGCTGGGCAGCCAGCCTGGCAGCCTGATGTGCGACCCCTCTGCTGTTTTTTCTTCGGCTACGCCTCCGACGTCGGCTACTACGGCGCTGCCCTCGATTCTGGTATACGTGAGGCAGTCCAAACAAGACCTCGCCTTCGATGATGGAAAGAGTTGGCATCTCTTTCTCGGCGGAAGACGGCGGAAGGTCGGCGGAAGTCAAACGAGGCCGCCTCCGCCGCGCCGGCGGAAGCCGACGGAAGGCCGACGGAAGGCGGCGGAAGGTGGCGGAAGAAAAGGATGCGCCCCCTAAGAGATGACAGCGTTTATGGGGTTCAGGGTTTCGAAATCGGCCACATACGTTCTGGATGGGGCAATAATCGCCCCCCTTGAATCCGCTGGGGGGGCTGGGCACGTGCTGTCGGAACGGGTGGAGGGGAGTCGGAGGAGGAGGGGGAGGAGGAGGAGGAGGAGGAGGAGGAGGAGGAGGAGGAGGAGGAGGAGAGGAGGAGGGAGGAGGAGAGGAGGCGGAGAGAGGAGGAGGAAAAGGAGGAGGGGGGGGGATGGGCAAGCTCCGTCGGAAGGTTGGGCGCCCACCCCTCGATCGATATCCCACCCAGAGCGTATGTCCTTAATTTTGTATGTCACCCTCGTGTTCGAGCGCCCCATCGGCAGCCCCGTTCGGTGGGGGGGAGCCCGCCGCCCGCCCCGACGGGACCTGGCCGGGCTCGTGCCCCCCCCCCCCCCCGGAGGGACCGAGCGGGGCTCTGCTCCCCGAGCCTCTGCCCCATCGAGGGCGCCCTCCCCCTGCAGGAGGCTCTGGCTCTGCCCGCCTCGTGCCCGCCTCGGCGCGCGCGCCCGCGCGAGGTCCCCCCGGGCCCAGTGACTCAGGCAGCGGCGAAGCGTCCTGGCTCGACTACAGTCGACCAGACGTGAGAGTGGCCTTTCGCCAGAGTGACCTTTGGTGCGGGCGCGTTGGGGTCCCCCGATCGCCGAGCGCGATGCGACGGTACCGTCTTGCGCGCCTGCGTTTGGTCACCCCGCGGCCCCCTCCCCTCCCCCCCCCCAAAGCCGCGCACCAAAGGTCACTCTTACCCAGGGTCGCTCTTTGCGCGTCGCCGATGTAGGCCCACCAAAGAATGATGTCTGAGCGCCTTTTGTGGTTCGCACGAAATCTTATCAGAGCATTTCTGGCTGTGTCTGTCTCGTTTCAACGCATCGGGCTTACATTTCTAAGAACATTATTTGTTGGTTATTCGAACATTTCTGGGTTCTAAGACAATTTCGTGGTAGGCCTACAGAAATGCCGGGACGGTCGGTCCCTGCTCGAATAACAGGCGTTCACGAAGCGTCCATGGGCGTTTACGAACCAGCCTTGCCCTGTGTGATTCCTTCTTTGGGTGCGTTTGCTAGACGACTTCGCCTCTCGGGGTGAGTAGAGCCAGTTTTTTTTAACCTCGGCAAGTGAACTTGCATGGGCGGGGGGGGGCCTGAACCTTGAGCAAGCCACAAACGACTTGTACGTGCGGCACTTGCATGCTAGTACTCGTTTGAAGAGGGGCGAGAGGAAGAGGGAGGGGGGGGGGGGGGGGGGCGAACGCCATGCAAGTAAACTTGCCCGAGCTTATAACACAATCTTGTTTTGAGGGTGGATTTTCTGCTCACCATTGAAGGCACCCCTTACGCGCTGGGCGCGGGGGCGCCAGGACAGGCCGCCGGCGCGCAGACGCGCGCGTAGCGGTGCCGGCGGGCAGGACGCGCACAGCGGCGTGGGCGCGCGCGCAGCGGTGCGCGCGTCTGCGCGCAGCGTGCGCAGGACATGCGCGCGGCGAGGCCTTGAGATCCTGGCGATTCAATTTTTTCGAGCCCGACGTTTTTGCCCAGTTTCG